TATGATAAGGTCGGTAAGAAGAATCTTACTGGCCGTATGCAATCAACAGTCCATTGACGACGAGACCCTAAACACGGCGCTAATCGAGGTGGAGCGCATATTAAACAATAGGCCCTTGACACCTGTCGCGAGTGAAGCCCCGGGTCTTGCACTTACGCCGAACGATTTAATGCTTTTGAGACCGAATAACGGACTGACAGTACCACGAACGCTAACGAAATATTACTCGAGCAGTTGGAGGCAGGCGACCTACCTAGCGGGAGTTTTCTGGAAGCGGTGGGTCCGAGAGTACTTGCCTACCCTACAGGCACGCCAGAAATGGTTACTCAAAGAAAGAAATTTTCGAGTTGGTGACATAGTATTGCTTGCAGATGAACGACTGCGGCGGGATGAATGGCCCCTGGCGATCATCGAAGAATGCCTTCCGGACGAGGATGGGCTCGTACGCACGGTTAAAGTGAGAACGGCAGCCGGCGAAACCCTGCGAGATATCCGCCGAATCTGCTACTTGGAGGGAGACGAGGCAGAGGCAACTGAGAACCCAAGCAGCTGAGGAATCCTCCGGGTCGGCGAAGGAGGCACTGTGAGTCATGGAAAACGGCTTGTGGCTAACCTCCTGAGCTGACGGAGACGGATAGAACGACGATAGGCTCGAAATAAAGGCACAAAGGCTGTAGAGAATAGGTAGTTAGGGTGAGAATTGGTACTCCCCTGAATTTCCCTTTGACCGTGTGACGCGAGGAAGGATTTTGCCGGGCGGTGTATTGATCGATCTGTGAAAATCCTTCCTGTAAAGCCCAGTCATTCCATCTCGGTTCCACATTTCGTGAATTTTACGTTCCATTCACCAAACCTCATCCGCCTCACATACATATAGACATTTGACGTTCCACTCCCCTTGTATATTTACCCATCAATCCTACCAGTTGACTTTGTTTGTTTATCTGCTTCAATTTTTATCCTACTTGTTTTAATCGCGACTTGAGCGCTCACATTTGGCTCGTTCGTGTGCAGCGTGACGGTGAGCGTGCTTTTCTTACCCAGGCTCATTTACTTCCATTCAGATTTGTTGAATTGCGCTCACAGTAACACTTGGCTCTTGTTTTCAAGTTGTTTCGAGATCACTTTGAGGTTTGTACAGTTTTTATTTGCTTATTCGATCGTTTAATAATGCAGTACCGTAGAAATTTGCCGGATCGTTCGTTTTGTTGACGCTTTGGGATCCAATTTCGGCTACGCGTCGCTCGTTGATCTATTTAGGAGTTACAATTGTGTCAATGTGCGGGCTATTTCTGAAAATTGAGGCACAAACCGCCGATAGTACGACGCAAGCCCCATAAAGCTGCGTGCTTCCGTCTCGTTGCGATGTTGGGGCAAGTTTCTCATCTTACCTTTTCTTCGTCAGTTTGAATGCCTTCGGCGGAGATCATGTGTCCGTGAAAGCAAACCTCTCGTTGGCAAAGTGTGCATTTGGCAGGTTTTAGCTTCAACCCGACCTTGCGGAGACAGCCAAACGTGGCCCTTAGATTCGCCAAATGTTCCTCCTCTTTCTTTCCGTGTACTACCACATCGTCCAAGTAGACAAGGAATCAGCTCCCTGAGCACTGAAGACATTAGTCGCTGGAATGTAGCCGGTGCGTCCGTCAATCCAAATGGTATCGTCTGGAATTCGTATAATCCGTTTGGCACGACGAATGCTGTCTTGTTCCTATCCTTCTTTTTTATTTCCACCTGCCAGTACCCAGATGCTAGGTCAAGAGTTGATAAGTATTTCGCTCCTGATAGGGCGTCGAATATGTCTTCCATTAGTGGTAAAGGAAAACAGTCCTTCTTTGTGATTTCGTTTAACTTTCGATAATCGACACACAGCCTGATTGTTTCGCCTTTCTTTTTCACCAAAACAATAGGGGCAGCCCAGGGCGACTTTGATGGCTGGATCACTTTTTTTGTCAGCATCTCCTTCATCATACTCTCCAATTCCTGGACATAACAACTTGGTATGCGGCGGGGGTTCAGTCGTATGGCTCCGGCGTGGCCCGTCTCTATTCGATGTTTTACTAGCCCGGTCCTACCCAGTGGCTCGCCGTCCATCATATATCTCGGTATTTTTTAATCAGCTTATATACTTCCTCTAGAGTCGCCCGGCCGACGTTAGGTTCTGTTTTTGTGGTAATATCCTGGAGCTACTGATTCTTGATCTCCACACCAACAGCGACACAGTGGTCAGTTCCCTCGCGGTTTTCCCTCGATGGTTTCGCCAACCTTCTTGCGCAAACCGTGAAGTTCTCCATGTCTTTGGTAAACCGAAGCCCTTTCAAGATAAGGCCCACTGACAGCGGTTCTGCGACCACAAACCAGTGTCCAACTGAGACACCATCCAGCTGCAGCCTTAAACGAACAGTTCCGATGGCACGGATCGCCGCGCCGTTCGCTTCGCACAATCGGCCATGGAAAAAAGTGATGTCAGGGTTGCCCACGGCTTGCAGCATGGAGCTGTTGATCAAAGACTTGGTTGCTCCCGTATCTACTAGACCCTTGACTCTATATCTTTCCACGTGTATGTCAACACAAAACATTTTATCAGACGGCACACAAACGGCACGGACAACCGACTCACTCGAATGGGTGTCATCCGGATTTTCATCTTCCCGCGGCGTTCCATTTACTGCTTGTCTATGGTTCGGTTCCTATCTTTCACCGGTATTAGGCCAGCGTATCCACCCACCACCGTCTCAGGAATAAGGGCGCCCGGCCACTGGTTGACGATACGGTCTCCACGCCCATGGGTTTGTCCGTTGGGGTGGCTGCTGTTGGGAAATGGCCCAACATTGTGCGTCCGGTTTTTGAACGGCCCGCTGGAGCTTCTCTGTCACCCGCACCAGTAACACGGTCTCATTAAAGCTTTCTTGGGGTTTCGTAATCAGCCTGTTCTTCACGGAATGGTTGGCTACCCCTTCGACAAAGCGTTCCATTGCGCTGCGCTCCTGCCCCTCGCTGGTGTCCCCCGGAAACGCTTTCGCCACCAGCTGCCTCACGCGATACGCGTACGCTTCGGTGGTCTCACCCATATCCTGGCGCATCGCGTGGAACTGCGTCTGATATTCGACAGGATGAAGCGGCGTGTCCAGCAGCTCACGTAACTGGGCGAACGTGGCTTCCAGGTCATCACCATCGAAGACATTGGCCTGGAATGCGCGATCTGCAGCGTCTCTGGTCAGCAAACCCAGCAGGGCAACACTTTGCTCTTCCTTTGGGAACCTTTGGATGTAAGCAGAGGCTTGGAGTTCCATCGTGGGTAGTTGCAGCCCGCGGTGAACTTCTCTGGTGGAGGTAACGGCGGAGTAAGATTCAGATTGAGCGCATCGCTGGCGAGTATCATTTTTTACAATATTGTCAACCACATTATCGGAGTTGCTAGGGCTGGGACACGGCAATTTGCTGTCCTTCAGCTCCCGTGCAGTCGGCTTGCGGATCTTTGATCCTGCCCGCGACACCATTTTGTAACGCGAAATCAGAAGGCGAGTTCGTTGGACAATATCAATTCGTGACACACTAAAAAATGGTCAATACAGNCGAATTTACAGTCAAGTACGTTTCACGGGTTCACGGAGGATTTCTTGTCCGGTCTGAAACTAGAGCAAGACGGCATAAAATATCACAGTGTTCTAGAGTGTCAATGGCATTAGTCTCTTGGCATAAGGGTAACAATAATCATGATAGTAAATGTTGTTAAACAGAATAACAGTGTGACAAAGGCAAGGCTGCATAACTCGGTCGATGGTTTTGGTTTCGGTCCCGCCGCACAACCACATGTTATCCAAACTGACCTTGAACTGGGATACTGTTTGAGACTAAACGAAATTCTCCGGCAGTTTGTTTCATCTATTAATGATTCTATGGGATAAAATATTTGCTCTAACACTTTCAAGTGCCCTGGATTTCTTCAGTTTAAAGCAATGTCCGGTCGTTGTAGAGCTTTCTTGGAGAGTGAAGAGGGGTGAGTTAGTTTTAGAAAACCCTCCATCTATCTAAATACTTCAATGAGATCATCTCTGAGGCGTCTACGGCTGAGGGGAAACGTTCCAGGGTTCGTAGTCTTTCCTCATATAGAATTTTTCTCAAGCCTGCAGTGGTCATCGTGATCCTTCACGGGACATTTTCCAAGAGTTGTTGACCTCTGTTTAGGGTTGGGGCCCAGGATTACATGGCATACTCAAGGTGCGGCTTAGTTTTTGCCTTTTATAATGGTATGAGAACTTGGGGATCTCTTGAGTCTATTGTCCTGCGTAATTAACAGATAGCCCTCTGTGCTTTGCTTGCTGCAATAACACTGTAGATGACTTAAATGACGCATGAATTTGCGCGCCCAATTCCTTTATTTCCTTAACGATTTCTATAATCTGGGGGTTGATCTGGTTGATGGTTCTAGGTGCGGGTGGACCCCCAGTTTGTAGTTGCTAACACCTTCCTATGTTTAGGGCTGGGCCCTAGGTATCAGACCACTTGTGGAGGTTATTTGGGTATGCTTGTACAGTCTCCTCGTATGGGTTGCCGACTATCTTAGCGTCATCGGCATGCGGGTATGGAAACCCTGACCAGGAATCTGGGTCACATAGGTCCCGTTAGGCTCCCTGGATAGAGACCGCGGGTTTAT